GGGGGCAAGCAAGGCCAGGGAGGGAAGGGGAAGGTAGCCCGCGAAAGAAAAGGGGGAAGTGGTATAGTGTACCCAACAGCGAAAAACGCTTACGGCTCCATAAATCTGAGCGAAAGGACTTGCGCCGTCCGCTACCCCCGCCCCTTCCACCCCTTCTCTCCAATACCATATATTGCGCGCCTAAAAGCGCGTGAGATGGCGTTTGCGGGCCGCCACGAAGACCAGGCACATGAGTCTCGGCGACATTCAAGAGAGTAAAAGGGGCGGCGGAGGTTAAGATATGAGAGGGGGTGGGGGGCTTGGGATAATGAAGGGAGGGGGAGGTATGAGAGATGTAGGTAAGGCTCGCATCAGAGCGGGGTGGGGGGCGCGCGGGGGGAACACTGCAGGCAAACGAGGAAAAATAAGGAAACAGCAACTAATGAGGGTAACGTGAGAGGGCGGGTGGTGGACAGGGGGATGGAGGTGAAACACGGGAGGTGGGGAGGTGCGGGGAGGTGCGCACCCACCACCCACAGCGAGCGAGGGGCGCGCGGTGCGGCAGCGCCCAGCCTCCCCCTCGCCGTACAGAGTGTGGACCGGCGGGTGACTGATGGCGCGAGAGTCAGGTGAGACTGCCTGCCTCTGGCCTAGTACCCTCCCACACGGGCCGGGACGAGTTGAGGACCAGGTTGACGGGGATGGAGTCTAGTTGGTGTTTGTTTCCCTCCCCCGGGCCCCGGGCGCTGCGGCTAGCTGCGGGGCGCGCGGTTGGCTGTTGCGGGTGCAGCGGTAGCGAGCAGGTGCTGAGACACAAAGATTCAGCCCCCCAGCTACCACCGCTTGTTGTGGCCTAAGCCGCGGGTCAAAAACAGAAAACTCAATCAGGCTCAAAAAGGATAGTCCTTATTCATGCACTCACGCTACACTGTAAAAATTCTTTGTCACGATGACGAAAATACTATGGCTAATTTTTTTTTGTAAAGGGGTGTCATCATGGGTTTTCTCGTCACGGCGACGAGAAAACCATCATGTAACCAAAAAACTCATGACGAAACCCTTGTACTAAAAATTAGCCATGGTATTTTCGTTATCGTGCGTGACAAAGAATTTTTACAGTGATAATGGCACGGCGCCTCATGCCTCGTCACCCTGCTCCGCTGCACCGTTTCTCTTCACGTCTTTTGCCCTGCTGTGTGCACCGCTAAGAATGCCGGAACCGGAAAAAGAACTCAACCTAGCACATCTATGTGGGTGTCGGCCGCCCACCGGCCCCATGCACTGCCCCAGAAACCTCACGTGTAATCGTGCGTGTGGTGTCTGTCTACGTCACTAGCCGTGGCGGCTAAAATTGTGACAACACCCTTCATATTGGCACTTTTCAAAAGACGTTTACTAAATGGGAAACATTTTGGCGAGGATGGGGGGTCGAGGTGCACACCCGTGCCCCCTTTTGCCTTGACCATAAACCCCCTCAATCCCCGGCCATCCTCATCCTTTATTGTGACATGTTTGCAGTCCTGTTTGGGTTTTATTCATCACTGTTTGCCCGATGTACCACAAAGGAAGAAAGATTGGCCCCCATCCCTCCCTCCTCCCTACACAACAGGCACCCTTAAAGCCATCACATGCACAGCCGCCCCTGCTTCCCTCCTCGGCTGAAGCTCAACCCCGAAGGCTACCCCATCCCTCCCCGTTCACTTTTTGGCCTCGGCGGGGCCAGCCAGACAAACATGCTCCGTTGGCCACGCCCAGAACGGCTGGCCCGAACTACACTATATAGGCCTGGCCCAGGGTTGCGGCAAGAAATCCACCAGTTAGGCGCCGCGGTGCGGAGGGCGGCGCGCCGTGGCCGCCCTGGGGCTAGGGCGCGCACCCGCGCCAACGAGGAAAAAATGCAAGGAAGGAAAATCCGGTAACAAAGACGAGACCATATAATGAGTTCTTTGTCTTGCAGCCTCGGCAAGAGAGCATCAGAGAGAGTAAACCGTTGGAAACCATAACCAAAATACAATATCGTTCGTACCTTACAAAGACAACAAAATACAAAATCATGCGTGCAATTGCATTTTATAAACAGCGCGTGTGAAAAAGTGTACATAACATGTATGTTTTTATAATTTTTACCAACGTCTGATAACACCGCCCAGCACAAAAAAGTGCCTACGTAGTAATTTTGTCAATGAAAAATAAATGTATAAAAAAGCAACTCCGAAAAAGTATCTGGCAGCGGTGGGATTCGAACCCACGCCTCCGAAGAGACTGGTGCCTTAAACCAGCGCCTTAGACCGCTCGGCCACGCTACCACTCATACCGAAGCATTCCAAGCTCCCAGTGTGGCGCCACTCCCTACAGCCCTACGGGAAGAATGCGTACGAGGAAGTAAAACATATGATTCCGCCCAGGATCGAACTGGGGACCTTCTGCGTGTTAGGCAGATGTGATAACCGCTACACCACGGAATCTCGGTGGAGGGGGACGCCACGCGCCGCCAGGAGGCCCGACCCGCCCGCGGCCCGGCGTGTGGCTGCCAGCCCGGGCGGCGCGGCGGCGAGGCGGCCAGCCATGAGGCAGCCAGGCGCTCGCCGGCTCGGCTCGGCGCCCCCTGCTCGCTCAGCTCGGAATCGGGGATCGCCCGCGGCGCGCTATACTAGCAATAAATCTAATGAAATGGAAAGCGTCTTTTCTTCGCTGCGGCCGCCGGTGGCGCCCGGCACCGCCTCCGCGGTGAGGAGCACCAGGACCACGCCGCGGAACAATATTCCCGGGGGTTGCGGTGCGAGAGTCGCACTCGGCGCGGTAAAATACCACCGACCCGCGGCTCGGAACACTGCTCGCCGTATGTGCAGGTATCAAAGTGAAGTGAAGTAGCGGGCGCGTCGTCGCAGGGGCATACTAGGTAGTCAGGGGCATGAGGAGAGCGGCGGTGTCGCGGGGCGGGGTGGGGCAAAACGGACTACGCGTAAAGGAAGGCAAACCTACGGGGCGGGCAAGAGGGTGGGGGTGTCATCGAGGGCCTCCGAGGATCCTCCCTCAAGTCGCACACAAACACAGAGTACTTGCCTTGCACGACACGGCGCCGGTACACGTGCAAGTGTGCCAGGACAGGAACCCGCGTGGAGCATGTGGCGTGGCGCCGACATCGCGGAATCGCGGCGGCTGTAAACGCCACCGCTGCCTGCGGGCGGGGCCGGGCGGGACCGACATGAGACAAGGTCTTGGACAAGGTCGGGAGGTCGGCGGGACAATCCAGGTGCTCAGGCCCGGCCTGATGATAACACGGCAGAGTGAGGGCATCTGTCATCCCCATCTACCTCGAGGGTGCGGTGCGGTGCGAGAGACACTGTTAACCACTGTCAACGGCAAAGTCGTGTTTCTCACTCAAACCGCGAGCCGTAGTAATTGCTAGACGTCCCGACCAGTCAGAGACGTCGGCAAGTAAGAGTCGCGTCAGTATAACAAGAGAGTCACACTCTCGCGACTCCCAAGATGAATCTTCCAGAATGAGAAACTTTGTCTCCCGCCGCCTTACAGTGCAGGCATTCCTCCTGGACCGAGCAGACCGCGAACAACCCCGTCCGCCCCCGCCCCGGTCCTCCGTGGTCGGCCCTGTCGAGGTTGCGCGCTCGCTCAAGTTGAAGGAAGGATCTTTGTGACAGGCGAGTACAACCCCCAGCCGGACCCCCCCCC